GCTCATTTATTTACATATTGTCTACAGCCAGTTTCTGGTTCCTGTGGCAAAATTGTATGGTTGTGACAGAGAACAAATTGCCAGTAAAGCCTAAAATATTTACTGTTTGGCCCTTTACAGGAAAATGTTGTTGAACCCCTGGCCTAGAATATAGTAATTAAAAATGATTTGTGGGAGGACAACATGGAAATTGTTAATGATGTATTAAATAAAAATATTGAAATAAATAAAAATATAAAGATTAAAAATAGAGATATATGGAGAAAAAGACTGGAAGGGTACATACAGAAATAATACTGATTATTATTTCCTCCTTTACAGTTTCTTGCATTTTCAAGTTTTCTACAAAAACTATGTACTGCTATTTTTAAATCAGAATAAAAAATTGACTTTCAAATATCTGGTTCACACTTTAAATAGGTGAATGGTATGGTATGTCAATTTATATCCCAATAAAGCTGTTAAAAAATTTAAAATTTTTAATAAATTAAAAAAAAACTGGTTCACTTTGAGTATGTTTTTGCATAAAGGAAAGAGTATGTAAACTTTCAATGTCCTTTCTAAATCGTGATTCTTCACGAGACTTGGAAGTGAGGCTTCATTATCAGGCAAAGGGCCAAATGATTACTGGCACCAGAAAGTAAAAACCCTATGCTTTGTTGAGGCAACCAGCTTATCCTTTACCTTATCAGTGTACTTTATTTTTTTCAGATTTTATTGACTAAGCATGCTATTAATCAGGGGCCAAGTTCAAATTCCTGAGAATCTACTTAAGAGGGCGAATGTTAGGGACTGGAGGAATTTCAGGCTCCTTATGTTAAGCTCTCTCATTTTACTCCATGAAGGAGAAAAAAGAAAGGTTAACAGCCTGTCCATGGCAGTCCAGTTAGATCTGGGCAGACTCCCTTGTGGTTTCCACACTGACTCCTGCATAATAAATGGAAGTAAAAAAGGGGGAAGAAAGGAACAGGGATTCGAATGCTTCAGCTTGCAGAGGAATCAGTCAGGAGCCGGGCACCATTATGGCCATGCTGATTGTAAGAGGAAGATTATGTTTATTTCTTAAGAGGAATGTTAGTCTTTAACCACTTTCTCTTCTGTCCTTCTTTATTTACATTCTAAACTACTAGTCGCTGTTGTTATAATAACAGTATGTCACATAACGGATAATGCGGGCATACATTTCAAAATAGGTAGCTAAGTCTTTTTACTTCACTATGTCTTCAACCAGGATATTGGATTTTTTTTTCCATCTGTTCTACTGAGATAATATTCACGTAGAGCAAAATGCACAGTTAGGTTTTGACAAATGCAAACGCCCAAGTAACCAACAACCCGATGAAGATAGAAAACATACCCACCACCCCAGAAAATGTCTCATGTCTCTTCCTGGTCAGTCCTGCCTTCTGTTCTGAGTATCTCACCATGAGTTAGTTGTGCCTTTCGAGAACTTCTTATAAATGCAATTATTCAGTATGTATTCTTTCATGCCTGGCTTTTTCACTCAGCATGTTGTTTTGAGATCATCATGCTGTGAGGTGTATCGTAACATATTCCTTTTTATTGCTGAATAGTAGTTTATTTTTACAAATATGTCACCGTTTCCTCCCCCCACCTCTCTTATTGAAGGACACCCAGACTGTTCCCAGATTTGGCATTAAACAAAAATTTGTTCTGATCCTGGCGTCACTTTGTCAAAATAAAAAGTTTTGGAAATTGGATTTTGTTACTTTTGAGATTCTGCCTTCCACTTATATTTTTTAGGGTCCTCCCTTCCTTCATCGCCTCTTCAGGAAAATCATAATACATTCAGCTGGAGAAGAATGAATGGGTAATATTGAATATGGGCAAATTAATTTTTTCACCATACAAGGTCTAAAGGCTGAATATAGAAAACAAATTAATATTCTGGCCAGTCTCACAGTCTAATTTTGGAAAGGGAAAGTAAAAATGCAAGGGGTGCAAAGGAGGTTGGCAATAGTGCCAACCCTTAGAGTTTAAAGCATAATCAGGGCCCCACTAATAATGATTACAATTACAACTTGTACTTATGAGGCCTCAACTAAATGCTAGACATTGTGCTAATTACTTCATCTAATCCTTACGCTCAATGTAGGCACATTTGTCATCTTAATTTCATAGAGGGCACAGGGATGCTCAAGAGTACATAAACAAGTACCTAAACGCTATATGTAGAAGAAACTCAAAGGAATATATATGAAGCAAATCATAGGAACTTAAAGGAAATGAAGGGATTCATTTTGAAATGGCTAGTGGAGTTGTGCAACTAAATAGTATAAATAGCATTTCAACTTTCTCTTTTCATTGGCGTTTTGCAAACTCTTCTTAAGCCATAAGCCCTCTCTGTTCATGCTCACTGACTCTGAATGGGACTAGGGTGCAGCGTTTACCTCCCAGGGAATTATAAACCAGCTGGACAACTGTAGTTTTACAAATAGAGTAATTTAACACCACTCTTGATAACATAATAATAAGTACTTATTTATTTTGGATATACTGTTACCAACAATTTTAGCAAAAATCCATGTACAGCAAGAAGGACTTCAATGGGAAATCAAAGGGTAAAATTATCTTGGGGGATTCAATTAAAAATACATTTTTTTCCTTAATGATCTTCTTGTCTTCCTTTCCCTCTCTCCCCACCCCAAAGGTCTTTTAGTATTCTCTTCCTTTACTGCTACTGATTATTATATTATTCACCCACTTAAATAGGGAGGATGGAACAGAAAGTATTCCTTTTTCTGGCAAGAAAGCCCTGAACATTATTTGGGACACAATTCAGCCCATAACACTTCTATCTGCATCACAGAGCTGTTAACCTAAACAAGATAATTATTTAGAAAAACAATGTGAATTCAATTATATCCCGTACAAGAGGGTGTCTGTTAGGGTTGTTAAATTAGTCGCCTAGTCTTCAACTATTTTTAAGTCATTTGTGAATTTAAGTTGCTTGTCAGGAAACATGTTAGTGGCTACTGTCTTCAGAGAACAGGCTACGAAGACAATCAGATGACATGCTGAAGATCACACCTGCAAATAAGTAGTTCAAAATTTTTTTAATTCTCTAAATTCAAAAAAAAACAAGAAAAGTAATCTAACAATTAATGATTAATTATAGAAGATATGAGGTGTGTTTTTTGGTAAGCTGAATTTATGAAGAGCACGGCAAATACAGGATTAGAATAGAGTAGATTTGAAATTTAGCATATCCCACTGGAATCATTTGTTAAGAGAAAAAAATGGGATGACCACAGAATGAATAAACGGGGCCCTCTATGCTTTGGTCTCTTTTATAAGTACAGCATGGTGTTCAAACTTTCAATGTGTGAAGAAAAATAAAAAGGATTAGAAGACCGGAAACAAGCAAATTTGTTCATTATGATCAATTAAATTGACTTACATGAGACTGATCTTTCCATAGATTAAAAAAATGGCTTAATATCGACAGTTCTGTGTGTCAACCTAACATAAAAGAGAAACCAGACGATTTACCCTGTGGAAGAGAGAAAAAAGAAAGTGCCTAGGAGCCATAAATCACTTTGATGAACTTTGTATTTAAAGTATTATACAATTCTTAATCTCTCGATCTCAGCATTTCAGGTTTGGTCTCATACTAATAATAGCATTGTGACACCTTCTCACTGACTGATATTTTAATGTTATTAGCTACTTAAATCCTCCAAGCAAATTCCTGGATTATCTTCTCCTTTATCCAGGCCACACTCTGAAATGGACGCTGTGCTTTTACTCGTCGCGTAAGAGATAGTCCTGTCTAACGTAAGTTCTAAGAGCTTTACTCCATCACCCCACCCACCCCTCTATCCCCTGCACATCCTTTCCGGAGCGTTGGCCACCTACGCCTACAAATTCTACACATTGCCTTTCCATCATCCTGCTGTCTCTGGATAGAGGAACGGGTCACTTCTTCCTCCAAATCCCGATTTGAATAAAGCAGCAGCCCCGTCTTTTTGCTACCCGGGAGGGGGCGGGGACCTCTCTCTCCCAGTTCAGATTAGAAGTACTGGTGTTGAGGCTGAGTCGTGTGAGGGGCCTGTGGACCTGGCACGGTTTCTGCACTCAACTGCCAAACAAATGACACAGAAAACCCGACAACCAATCAGACCGCAAGGATGCATTGCGAACATCTTTTCTCAGAGGCAGTCACTACGAAGCCCGACCCAGCGCAGGGGGTGCAACTGAGCTCTGGGGGCAAACTCAGATCGCGCGCCCAGCCGGGTCCGCGGATCTCCACTGCGCGGTTGCGAACGCGTCTCCGTTTCCGCTGCGGCGTTGCTGATTGGAGGGGCTGGGGGGAAGACAGTGGGCGCAGCCAATCCGGAGCGCCCTCCGCTGCTCCCCTCCCGCCCCCGGGCTCCCAAGGGAGCTGGCACTGAGGCCGGGCACCCGTGTCTGTGTGCAGTCTCTGAGGTCAGGAGCGCAGGGCTGAGGACGCCGGCGCACAGGTCATGGCCGCGCCGGGGCTGCCCCAGCCTTCCGCCGAGGCTCGCCCTGGCCTCTCAGC